GTGCCCCTTGTTCCCCTTGCCACCTCTCTCACCTTTGCCCTCACCGTACCTGTTTGACTGTACTCTGGTGTCGTGTGATTTTTGACAAGGTCTGTTTGTTAGCAACACTCCCCAGGACTCTACCATTAAGTGTATGAGACCTGCCCTGTTTTACCTTCCTAAAATGCAACATGTCAGATTTATCTAAATTAACCTCCTTCCGCCATCCCTTGACCCATCCGATCAAGATCCTATTGTACCATGAGATAATCTTCTTCACTGTCCACTACGCTACCAATTTTGGTGTCACCTGTAAACTTACAAACCCTTGTTACTGTATTCCCACCCAAATCATTTATATAAAAATGACAAAAAAACAGTGGACCTAACACCAATCCTTACGGCACTCCGCTGGTCACAGGCTTCCAGTCTGAATAACACCCCTCCTCCTCCACCACCTAAAACAAGTTTCACTGTCTTGGTATGGTCAATATCATTTTTAAAACAAATACCTTTAAAATAGTGTTTTTGATTCTCGGTGGATTAACTGCTGACAGTAATTGGTAGCTGGATATTACTCTGAAACAGTAATAGAAACTGAAACTTTTGTGGGATGTGGGCGTTGCTGGCTGGCCAGCATTTTTTGTCCATCCCTAGTTGCCCCTTGAGAAGGCAGTTATTGAACCGCTGCAGTGCTGCTGCTGTAGGTTGACCCACAATGCTATGAGGAAATTCCAGCATTTTGACCTAGTGCCAGTGAAGGAACGGTGATATATTTCCAAGTCAGGATGGTGAGTGGCTTGGAAGGGAACTTGGAGATGGTGGTGTTCCCATATGTCTTATCCCTTGTCCTTCTAGATGGAAGTGGTTGTGGGTTTGGAAGGTGCTGTCTGAGGATCTTTGGTGAATTTCTGCAGTGCATCTTGTAGATAGCACACACTGCTGCTACTGAATGTCGGTGGTGGAGAGAGTGAATGCTTGTTGATGTAGTGCCAATCAAGTGGGCTGCTTTGTCCTAGATGGCGTCAAACT